TACTTACCACCTTGTATTTGAGGCTCCGTGTGACATGCAACAAGCATATTTTTCTGTTTTGTGTTACGAATTAGTGCGTTACACACTAAAAAAACAATAGACTGGAGTATATTTTCTGTTTACTACATGAACTCCCATTCTCTCTCTGTTGTACTTATTTTAGGCAAAGTCAGAATACTGGTAGCTACTGACTTAGCATCCCGTGGTCTTGATGTGCATGATATTACTCATGTTTTTAACTTTGACTTCCCTCGCAACATTGAAGAATATGTCCATAGAGTAGGTCGTACTGGAAGAGCAGGGTAAGTGTTTACAAAAAAATAGTAATATACTGTATATTTATATATTGTATAATATTTTATGCGCTGCATATATGTTTCTTTTGTCAAATGCTAGAGCTACAGGTGATGTGGAGCGGGAGAGAGAAGACTTCTGTCTCTCAAAGTATGTTTTAGATAATAACACACTGCTTTATGCTTTGAAATTAGTTCACTGTTAAAGGCAATCAAAGTTTCTACTTTTCTGTTATTTCAGTGAAGTGAATGGGAATGAGGGATCTTTGAAAGCTGGTTTAAATATGGGAAAGGATCACAGTTTAAAACAACTTCTGTGTAGATATTCTGAAATGTCACTTCCTTATTTGTCTTCTCGTGAGCCGCTGAGTGGTTTAGTTTCCTATACGGCCCACTGGGGGAAAAAACATACATAAATTCAAAGTTTTCAACCTATCACGTGGTGTTAGTTCAGTGTTGGGACTTTCAAATGCTGCTTTCACAGGTTGGCACAAATGCGATTTTTCTTGTGTATGTGTTTATTTTAGTCAAGATATGAATGTATGTCTCTTCATGCTTAAATAAGTTGTCTTTATGCTAGGTTTTATTGTCTAAAAGTCTAAATTAGCTGTGCCTTTACTCCATTTTAAGTGAATTGCCATATTTCTGATCTTTATGTATATATATGACAGAAAACAACTTTTCATAGTAGGTACTCAAACCAGTTTTATCTATCAGTTCAATAATATTGCCTGTAGTACAATTTATTACTGTATAGGTCAGTAGGAAGAGCCTAGCAGCAGTTGTTTTGAAGTTCAACAGTTATTTCATTCCTTGTTTAGACGTACTGGGAAGGCAGTAACGCTTGTCACTAAGAATGATTGGAGGGTTGCATCTGAGCTGATTGAAATTCTGGAAAGAGCAAACCAAGTAAGAATACATCTTACTGGGTAAGATTTATATTGATTCTGGGTTACCACCTGAAACAGTACATGAAGGTCTAAGCCTACTTAGACGTTTCTTGGTGAGTGTTTGCAGTGTCTCGAGCAAAAAATGTGTACTTAAGTTGCTCTTGTCCTGGATACACTTACTTGTATTTCACCTTGCAGATGAGTCCCAGAAAAGAACAGGGAACTTTAATCAAAGCCTTCCATGTCCAAAGAAAAAGTAACTAACATACGCACACATAGAGGTCTGTGGAGGAATAATAGAACCTATTTTATTTCATAGTATCTCATTCATAGTATGTCACTTCTGGATGCATGTACCAATGTTCTTGTTTAACAGTGTAAATATTAACAATATATGAGAAGAAGCTTAACTATCAGTTTATTATATCTGACAGTTATAATATCTGCATATAATTTTTCAAAATATCTTTCTTGCAGATATTTGTAAATAGTATGTGAAATAGGACTGGAATGTGGTTTGTTTCTTTAAAATGAACATTTTTTTCTTGCGACCACATCTGGTTGCCAGAGACAATTGTGTTGCTGTTTACTGTTTCATGCTACAGCAAGAATTTTGCCTGATTTACAGCAAACCCCCTGTTCATGCTCTCACTTGAGTTGAAATTTTTTTTCTTTTATTTGGGGGGATGGGAGTTTGAGTACAAACTAGATTGTTTTTACCTTGGACCTGTGGTTGTTATTGTGAACACTTACTCAAACTTTAAACCCTGAGTTAGAACTTCATCTAAGTCTGTTTTACAACTCTTCTTTGAAAGATGTACACCACTTACTACAAACCTGATTAAGACGCTTTTGGGGGGGAGGGGGGAGAGTTGTCCCCTAATAATTTCTTAAAGTTGCAGGTTTGGGGTAGGTTTTTTGTATGTTGATGGTTTTGGTTTTTTCTTCAGAAAATGTAAGAGATTAAACCAGTTATGATACTTTGAAGCAACTTTAAAAGAACTTAGAGGTGCCTTGTTCTGTATTCAGTCAGCCGTTACCATCCGTGCCTTGTCTCCAACCGCAGACTGTGTAGTTCCCAAAGCATTGCTCCCAAGCATTGCTGCATTATAAAGCCTGACAAAAGAAGTTGGAACTGGAGGAATATACCTTCCTGCTCCACCAGGCCCTTTGTCCTGGCTGCGTTCTTCACCTGTTCAAGCACTGCCAGGTCTAAGTGTTTTTAAGGAGACTTAACAGTATGTAAATTTGTTTGTGCTGTACTGTTTGCGCTGTATTTGTGCCACTCATGGAGGGACAAACCACAGAGGCTGAGCAATCAGGTTAATACCATGCTCACATGCACTGCAGAAGCTTGCTCTTCACTCTGTGATCATGAAACCGATTCTGGACTGGGTATCTTCTACCTGCTGCATGGCTACATGCGGTAGCCAATTGCTGAAGCAGGCTGGTTTTGATAGGTTAGTGATCTAAAAGCTCTTCTGACAGTACAGTCACCCTTACGCTGCTTTTTGCAGTAAACATTGCATTAACGTCTGCATTATGCCTGATGTAGTTCAAGACGACATGTTGGACACTGTTGCATAATGTGTAAGAATGGTATATGGGTGTTGGGTTTCTTTCCTTTCGTTCAGTAGTCAGTGTCACGCAACCTAATAAAGTCTGTTTGTAATTCTTTGCATCTGGCCTTGGTCCTTAGAAATGTGTGTAACTCTGAGGTGACAAAAGTGTGCTGATACTATTCACCTCCTTTCCTACGTAATTACAAACGTGCCAGAAACTGCCGTGGATCCTGGTAAGATGCTCTTGTGACCTCCCAATGGTGGGAGAACTGACTACTTTCTCCTGCCCTTCTTTTCTTGGCTCTTAGCTTTGTTTTATCCATGTGAGAACCTTTCCTATGGCAACGTGTTCTTTAAGTACCAAAGTTTCTCTTCAGAGGCTCTTAAAACTTCCAAAAGGAATTTAATATCAGTTATAGTAGTGTAACATTCAAATATATATGTAGTATGGCATCACTTTGTAGTGGAATTTTTTCCAGCTGTTCATTATCACCAAAAGATGTGTTTCTATTGGAAATAAAAATGTTTCAATTAGCTTGTTATATGTTGTCATTGGATACGGTGATACTAGCATACATATGTAACTGAAAATCCAGGGACACTGCTGATTATTTTTATGTAAGAAGACTTCTCTATGCATCTCCACAGAAAAGACAATCTGCAAAGTGACAGGAGCCAGATAAATAACAAAATCAAGTTTGGGAACACACAAATTGATAGCATCTTTGAAAATCAAAGTCTAAAAGTTTTTAGATTTATTTAAAACTGACCTTGTTCTTGTGCTGCTTTCTTATCAGGTAGTTCCTAATGAGCTTATTGCAATGGCAGAAAGATACAAACAATTTCAGATCAGAAAAGAAATTGAAAAGGATATACGAAGACCTCAGAGAAAGCCCTCAAAATAACTAATCCCTTGAAGTTACTGAAATGAGTAAGTGATTATAGTTAGTGTTAGCATCTGCGGGCTTGAATTTAGAAGTTTCTTTTCTTGGTTGATTGTTTTCTGTACCTGTCACATTTAAATAAAATGTGTTTTAAAAGGTGGCTTAGAAAAGAAAACTGGATTAACTTTATATAGAAATAGATCTAGTTTTGTGCTTGGACACTATTTTCACTTCAAAATTAACTTTTTTTCTTGTCTGATGTGCGTAACTTCTAAAGACATTATCTACCGGTTAAAAACAAATTGTGGGTTTGGTGGTTTGGTTTTGTTGGGGTTTTTTTTAATTAAATGCAGTATTAATATACAAGAATGTAAAAGAATTTTTCCTCTTACTTTCAGAGAACTGGATCAGTGAATGTAAGCAATGTTTGTCAGTGTGGCTTCAAAATACTGTACTTCTGCATTGATATGCTACATCTACTAGTGGCATGCAGAATTATTTCCAAGGATAATGTAGTTATTTAAAAACTGCTCTGTTTGCAGTAACTGATGTTTGCTGAAGCAAGGGTTTTTTTTTTTTATTTTAAAACTTAACATGGAAAGCTTTTTTGGTTTGTGTCTCAACCTTTTTTTTGAGAGAAGTCTGCATTTCCTCCTAATGGAGGAAAGCATAACAAGAAGTACATATTTGTGCCTAACGGGGCGGGGCGGGGACCAAATAGCTTCTACTTTTGTTCTCATGGATGTCATTTTCTAGCTTAAGGAAGTAAAACAGAGTTCACTAGAGCAATGTTAACAGAGTCATGAATTAAAAATACATTTGAAAGTCAGCTTTTATTTCTTTCAGATACAGTTGATTCAGATTTTACATTTGGATGTCAGGTTCCATCATAGACCTCTAATGGTAATGGGGTTTGTTTCCACTTTTTGGAAGTTAAATGGGAAGGAGCTACTCCTTCATCTGACACGTGGTCTGAACTTTTGTTTACTTGTGTCAGGAGTAAATGAAAAACTTATAAACTGAATCTAGCGAGATGAGAATATTTAAGTAAAATTATTCTCTTAAGTGTTCTTCTGGCCTTCCCTCTTTTTTTTTTTTTTTGCTCACAATTGAGGTGAATTTTGGGCATTATTTAAGACAGTAGTTTATTTTGCCTTCAAAAAGTGGACTAAAAATATGGAATTCTCATGGCTTCCTTAAGAAAAAGCAAAAGATGTTCCCAAATGCTGTGTATTTATCACCTGCACAATGTTATTAATAGGAAATAAAATATTGTTCCCAACACACCTACTCTTCAACATAACAAAAACTGAGTTGAATTTGGATTCTAAGAAAGTCATATTCATGCTGTATATTGGTTTTGATAACCTTTCACATGGACACTCGTCCTCCTCGATACGGGTTGAAGATACTTTTTCTACAAGATTCGTCACACAAACGCTCATTGGCACAATAACTTTTACTCTGTTGCAGCACGTTAGATAATGATTGCTTCCTGTCCAAAGTCCCATGAAAAGACCGATTTACAAACCAATTCTGAAGACTCAAAGTTACTTCAAGAACTTTGTATTATTTTGATACTCTCTCTCTGCTCACTGTTCCTGATGATTGTCTCTGCAGAAGGTTTTCATCTGCCCCATTGATCTGGAGAAGTTGTTCTGGTTTATGTCAAAGTAACTCCAATGACTTTTGTTTTCTTTTGAAAGCAAGAGTGTATTTTGGATATTCAGCAGTGGATCTTCATGTTAAATAAAATTGTGATTTTTCACTTTACCTGGTCATTGATGCCTTTATATTTGGAATCATAGAAATCACATGTGGGAAATTGACTATTGCGTATTCTTCTATACATTCTTAGTGTATGTTGTGGTTTAACCCCAGGCAACAACTGAGTACCACGCAGCTGCTCCCTCACTCCCCCCAGTAGGCTGGGGGAGAGAATCAGAAGAGTAAAAGTGAGAAAACTCGTGGGTTGAGATAGAGACAGTTTAATAGGTAAAACAAAAGCCACACACACAAGAGAAGCAAAACAAGGAATCCATTCACCACTTCCCATGGGCAGGCAGGCAGGTGTTCAGCCATCTCCAGGGAAGCAGGGCTCTCATCACGTGTAACGGTTACTTGGGAAGACAGATGCCCATAACTCCGAACATCACCACTTCCTTCTTCTTCCCCTAGCTTTATATACCAAGCATGATGTCGTGGGGTATGGAATATCCCTTTGGCCAGCCTGGGTCAGCTGTCCTGGCTGTGTCCCCTCCCAGCTTCCCTTGCACCCCCAGCCTCCTAACGGGCAGGCCAGCATCAGAAGTTGGATGGTTCTTAACTGTTTAGCAACAATTAAAACCATCAACATGTTATCAACATTATTTTCATCCCAAATCCAAAACAGCCTCACACTAGCTTCTGTGAAGAAAATTAACTCTATCCCAGCTGAAACCAGTTTTGCAGGTGACACCTACATTTGGATAGGGCAAATAAATATTACTTAAAACATCCTATTTCTTTTAAGGGCTCTAAGCAGTGTGACTGAAATACACAAACTTTCTTATAGTGTTCTTAATTTTGTTTCAGTTTTTGTAGTATCAGGCTACTGAGGAGTAACTTAAGGTGCAGAACTTCTGGTTTTAAATATACAAATCTATATAATTAGATAGTTACTGTAAACAATGTTTTCAATACCTCTCCTGGAATATTGGGAATCTGTTGTTCAATTGGTGGTTTATTTGTCTTGAAAGGAAATCACTGCTCGCTTTATGTTCCAGGCTGAGCAAGTTGTATCGGGGAATAAAAAAGTGGGGCAGGTGAGACTTCTGCAGGCAATCCAGAAAATATGCCAGATATTTCTGAAAGCAATGATCCAGGTCTCCCAAATGCCAGTCCGTGTCATTTGGCCACATGACACACGAGTGGAAAAAAGCAGTTTTGACATGATATGAATAGAATTTTTCCAATTCTTTTGTATATTTCATTTTAAGTTGCTCTAGAAGATACTTCAGAAGCTTAAGACAACCTTTCCTGTTAAATAAATACGAATTTATTAGCTATCTTCTACACGGTTCTAAATATGTATTTCAGATATTTAAATACACATTATTCATGAAAGCAATAAAAGTGTCCGTACTCTAATAGAATAACATTTTCAATAATGTTTTGAATAAAATCTGAAAACACGTGCAGCAATAGGCTGGATAGTCCTTGGATTACTGCATCTGAAGTCAGATTCTAGCGATGAAGGATTTCTACTTTAAGTAACAGTTTCTGTGCATGCACCACTTCTCCTGGTAGTTGCAGAAACACAAAGCACTGGTCAGCTGCGTGCTTACCTGGTGCAGTCTCCCAGCTGCTACCAGTATAACATGGACTGGGAGCACTGCTTAAGATGAAAGCTGCCCTTTTGGCTTGGATTTACACTGAAGGAAGTGCCAACACCTTCCTGTGGCATGCCACCAGGGGAAGAGGTGTGTGTACATTGTTTTCATACGCTGCTAGGTAGGGGCATAGCATGTCTGATAATATTCATAAAGCAAAGAAAGATTTATGCATTTGTTCTCTCGTGACTTTCTCAATTCAGTACATGATGTAATAAGTAAAATAAGGTGGTTTGCCATTAAGGAGGTTCTGTACTTCATGTGGTTTTTGTTCTTTCTCTTCAAAGAAATGTGGAAATCCGTTTTTATTGGAGTGAAAAATCACATTTATTCATCCTGATGCCATTCAGCAGTTCTTTTCTAACCAATGTTTCAGAAATTGCCTTGGTATGAGGTGTAATTTTGCTCCCAAAGCTCAGAAAGCTGAGTCATCAGACTTTCAAGCTGGTTCTTCTAAACAGGACTGAGTTTGGGAAAGATTATTGAACAAGTTGCCATCTTTCTGTTTTCTAAGGCAAGTCTGGAGTGTAAACCTGCAATGTGATTTGTTTCCACCTCTCACTGAGTAAATGTAAGTCAGATGTTCAGTGAGTACATGCACTGTTGTACTGCTGTAGAACAATGATGCCTAAAAGCTTTATTCTTGCTCCCTATTGTAAGTAATTAGTCTTAGATCAAACTCCTAAATATTAAACTGAAACTCTATGTGCTACAAGCACAGTGCTATAGCCTGACTCACACAAGCTTGAAGTAAAATACTCATATGAAACACCAACCTGCAGCACTTTGGTCCATCAGATTCACAACATGTCTTTGAGCTCCCATGGTTGTTCATCATGGCCTTCTCAATATGCGAGAAAGAGAGTCGCCAGGTGTTACCTAAAGTTGAGTACAAGATTGTTAAACTGTTCCACAGCAGTAAGTACCAGTGTCTGTAACTACGAGGGGAAAAAAAAAAAAGACACTTCATAATTGATTTCATTTTAAATATCAGCAATTTCTTTGCACTTTAAAAAAATAATAATAACAACTGCAAATCAGGGACTACAATTAGTTAATTCCTCCTTAATTCCCCAGCTGCTCCACACAAAGACAATTAGAATGTTATTAATACAAGACATAGTTGTTTGGATGCTTTAACAATATTCTTTAGGATGTTTGGATTTACTTTCAAGTTAAGCTTAATTCTGAACTTGCCTGCATTTGTTGAACATGATTTGAGGAATTACGCTACTCATCGAAACCTGCTACCTTTGAATTTCTGTGCTGTATTAATAGCCTTACTGCATAACCATCCTGGTTTTGAATAAAAAAAAAAATCTTCACTGTTGGATTCAATTTCCTTGTGTAAGTAATATGCTTGTAAGTTTGTCTCAGGTAAGGTGACTGTTCTAAAGCATCTATTTTTGTTCTTCTGGTAATGTTTCTGAAAACAGTGATTAACATAGCTGTTTTTCAAACACCAGTAATCGTTTTTGTCTTCTTTACATAAGTTAGACTGTTCCCTTGCCTGCTTGGTTCAGTTACTCTTTGCATTTAATTTTCGCAGGAAGAGATAGCCCAGTAGAGCAATAATGATTTACTTGGCATTGTTAAGATAGGCATGCTAATTTAAAAACAAACAAACAAACAAACAAATTGCCTGAACTCTTTTTGTTGAAGTCATCAGTTCTCATAATGCAATGACAAGTTGGGATGTTTCTGCAAACGTGTATTCTGCAAAAAATGTAGGCTTGGTGTGACAGTGGTCTGCACGGGAAAAAAACAAGAGAGATGTAGCTATACCAGAGTTCAATGAGAAATAATGTATCTTGCTAGAAAAGTACAAAGTTTACATCCTGCAGAAGTATAATAACTTGTGTATACAGTCCCACTTACGGGAATGTTCCCTGCCTTTTTAGAAGTCTCCTTTTAATTTACTTTTTTTTTTCTTAGAAAGGAAATGAATGGATGTTACTGTTCAGTACAGCACCAGCAGAGGGACAGTCCATGTCTCTGACTTAGTAGATTTAACATAATTCTCTTAGAAATGGTCAACATACAGCCTGGCAGAGCAGTTTTGTCTTTAGATTTCAGTACAGGACAAGCAGTGTCACAAATCTGATGTTTTAAAGAGTGATATCCAGATTAAAGATAAATGAAATCCCTCTTTAAAACATCAGATTGGTACCTCGAGGGCAGAATAGTGAACAGAATCCGGATACCCTTTTTAGAGCACCTCTAATTGATCAAGTTGTAGAGAAGATGGTACCTCTTAGAACTTTTTCTTTTTTGTTTTCTTTGGCTACTAAATAAAGTGATTTATTTCTGAACTCTCCCCTGACTTTTCTTCCCAGCCACTGTTCAATTTTGAGGCCATCCTGTGTGCTGGGCGGCCAGCTCTGCTGAACTTCCAAAGTCAGGATGATGTCCACTGATATTTCTGATGGAGGATTTTTGATCTGAAGAGTTATTGCAGGGCTTCCAGCCTTTTTCCTTTTCACAGTTACTTCCACATCTAGTAGCGAAGAAGAAATAGGGTGTTTTTATATATATATTAGAAACTTCTGTTTAGGTTTTTACTTAAGAGGAATTTATAATCAATCAAAAGAAATATCTGGGTTCAGTCACTGGCTCTTTATCCTACAGGATATGGATTTTAAATAAAACATGAAGAAGGCCTGTTGAGTTTATAATAAGGAACTCTCTTCTTGAACAACTGTTTGCTTGATTTACTGTGTCTACCAGAAATACAGTAATGTTTTCCAGTGAAATGCTTCACTGTTGAAAACACCAAGACTGAAGAGATTTGGCCACAATGCTTCTGAAGGCTTTGGAGAAAAAGAGCACCCCTCTAAAAGGGACTATGTTTTCTATATAGGTCGATATAAAATATTAGGTAATGTATAAAAGAAAGCTCTTCCTTTTGCTACCAGTTCAGGAAATGGCTCTTCGTATGTGGCTGGTAGATTCAAAATACACAGGTCATGTAGGAAGTACCAAGCATGCAACAGAACCCTCAATATTCATTACTTTCATATGAAAAGAGGATTGCATAGTGGAGCAATGGGTTAATTGCATAAAATTATTAGCTCTGATGTATTTGTGGTGATTCTTAGCACAAGAGCAAACTTGAGATACCAGGGACAGGAGGCGTTACAGTTAAAACTACATTGCCATGAAGAGACAGTCAACAGGGCGCGGGGGGAATAATCTCATTTTATTAACAACAGGGCAATGCATATGCACAATGTAATTGGATTTTTAGCACTCCTAGGTGAAGCTTATTCTCTCAGTACTTACTTTTAATGTTTTTTACTTCTTGTTTAATAATTTCTCTTAGAGCTTGAAGCATTTTAAGGGATGATAATTTTCCATCTTCATCTAAAAACTTCAACAAATACTTTTCTTTTGGATTTCTTTTAAATGTTAGATAATAATAGGCTCCAGTGTCATCAGATTCATCCAGCTGAAGTCTTGCAACAGGCATTACAAGCATGATGTCAAACTCATTTGGTTCAGATATCTGCAAAGTACAAGAATAACAATAATCAATGTGCAACTTTGTTTTTATTCTCTTCAGGCTTTTATACCAGTTGTGGTTTTATCTACAACTGCCTTGGTTTACTTTTCATGGCTGGTGTCAAATATCAGCTTACTTCTGTGGGATTTGTATTACAAGATTGCTATGCATTCGAGTGGAGAAGGGGAATTTACTGATAGCAGTTCGTTTCCCATCTTTCCAACTTACTAGTTTTTAAGAGAGCTTTCAGATTCTCAAGCTGTTCAGAGTAATGCATAAATGCTGATCTTGGTCACCCTGTTGCACACAGGAATCAGCTGTGAGGAAAAAAAACGCACTGCTATGCCTTAAACTGTTTTTTTTTAAAAAAAAAGTGTCCCCACGTTTGACTTTGTTTCAGATTGAGCTGAAACCAGAAAAAAAAAGTATTGCTATTTCTCTTGTTTGTTGGTTTTGTTTTTTTTTTAAAAAGAAAAAACACAACTATAAACTAAAACTATAAACTAAAAACTGGCGCAGAGCCTTTCCTGCAGCGCTATACCCGACTCACCCTGTGGTCACACCGCGCTTACCTGCGTGCTGTGCCGGGCAGGGCCTCGCTGCGGCTTTCCAGCGAGTCCCGTTCAGGCAGCCTCTCTTACTAAAGGCACGTACGTTCGTCTTTCAGCGAGCTAGCTATTTCTTAATTAATTGTTGTTAATTAACGCGGTAACCCGCGAAGCCTTTTCTCGTCGGGAAGGGTCCCCTTACGGCCGTTCTCAGGCGGCGGGAGAACGA